CCCCTTGACCTGTCCGTCCTCCCTGGACTGACCTATCCCCTTCCTAACTCCCTACCTACACTCACCTTTACTGGCTCCATCCCCGCCTCTTCGACCTGTTTGTTTCCTCTCCACCTATCCTCTCCTCTATCCCTCTTCTATCCACCTCCCACTCTCTCCCTATTTATTTCGGAACCCCCTTCCCCTCCCCCTTTTCTGATGAACGGTCTAGGCCCGAAACGTCAGCCTCTCTGCTCCTGTGATGCTGCTTGGCCTGCTGTGTTCGTCCAGCCCTGCACCTTGTTGTCTCGGATTCTCCAGCATCTGCAGTTCCTACTATCTCTGATTCAAATCACATCATGTCAAGTTTTGAAACTTACTTAGAAATTTGTGCGCTTGTGCAAGAAACATGAAAACTACAGAATTGTTAAAACAAACTGAACATATAGCTTACCTAACCAGCTGGACTACATGTGACTACCCTGCAGGGTAGTGCAAGAGTACTGGTTGGTGATCAATGTGAATCTTCAACCTTGCGTTCACCTCAACAAGTACATTTTGAAAATGAATATTATGGATTAGCATGTATAAACATCTGCATTTACAATTATCAATTTATTTTAGATGAAAACGTAGACTATCCTGATACTCCAGAGGTAATAATGTCATGGTATTGTCAGTAAGTAAGCTAGGAATCCTGTGATCTGGAAATACAGGTTCATATCACCACAGCTGATAGTAGTACTTGAATTCAATATAAAAAAAAAATCCAAATCCAAAGTCTAATGACAACCATGAAATCATTGGGAAAAACCGATCTGGTTCACTAACTCCCTTTAGGGAAGAAAGCTGCCATTCTTACCCGGTCTGGACTCCAGATATTCAACACCATGGTTGACTTCTGGCTGCCCTCTGAAATGACCCAGCAGACCACTCAATTACATCACATCACATCACGCTTTGTCTTGGATGATGGCAAATTTCTTCTTGATGAAGTATTGTTGGAGCTGCACTCATCTGACCAAGTCAAGAGCATTCCATCACCTCCTGACTTATGCCTTGTAAATAACGGTCAGGCTTTCAAGAGACAGGAGGTCAGTTACTCACTGCAGGATTCTATGGCAGGTCCAGATCAGTTTCTGCTCAATGGTAACCCCCAGGATACTGACAGTGTAGTTTTCAGGGATAATAATGCCACTGAATGTCAAGAGGCAATGATCAGATTTCCTCTTGTTTGAGATGATCATTGCCTGTCACTGTGGCGTGAATGTTACTTTCCACTTGTCAGCCTAAACCTGGACATTGTTTAGGTCCACGGACTGCTTCATTATCTGAGGAGTCACGAATCGTACTGAACATCGGACAGTCACTGCACATGTCTGACCTTATAATGGAAGGAAGTCATTGATGAGAAAGCAGAAAATACTTGGGCCTAGGATGCTACTCTGATGAACTGCTGTACTGATATCATCAAACAGAGATGATTGGCCAACAACCATAACCTCTTTCCTTTGTGCCAGATATGGTGCCAAGCGGTGAAGAGTTCTGCCTCCCCCCTGATTCCCATTGATTCTAAATTTTGCTAGGACCCCTTGATGTGCCACTTGGTCAAATGTGGCCTTGATATCAAGGGCTGTTACTCTCATCTCTGGAATTCAACTCTGTCCATGTTTGCACCAAAGCTGAAATGAGGTCAAGAGTTGAGTGGGTCTGGTGAAACACAAATTGGGCTTCACTGACCAGATTATAGCTGAACAAATGCTGTTTCACAGCACTTTGATCACACCTTCCGTCACTTCCTTGATGATTGGGAGTGGACTGATGAAGTGATAATTGGCTGGGTTGGATCTGTGCTGCTTGTGTGCGTACAGCACATACCTGGGCAATTTTCCAATTTGTCAGGTAGATGCCAATGTTGTAGCTGTACTGGGATAGCTTGGATAGAGGTGCACTAACACTGGAGCACGTGTTCAATACTATTGCTGGAATATTGTTGGGGCCCATAACCTTTGCAGTATCCAGAGCCTCCAGCTGCTTCTTGATGTCACATGGAGTGAATCAAATTGGCTGAAGTCTGTTATCTGTAATGCTGGGAACCACTGGAAAAGACCAAAATGGATCATTCACTTGAGACTCAAGGCTGAAGCATTCACAACAATCTTCAGCCAGATCTTTTGCACGGAGGTGCTGGGTTCTGCATGATTGAGGATGGAGATAGCTATGTATCCACCTCCTGCAATTAGTATATTGTCCACTGCCTTCAATGACTGGGAATGGTAGCTCTGCAGAGCATTGGTCATGAAATAGCTTAGCTTGATCATTTGCTGCTAATGCTGCTGGACATACAAGTAGTCCTGTTTGGCAGCTTCACCAGGTTGACACCTAATTTTTAGACACACCTGGTGCTGCTCTTGGCATACCCTCCTGCATTCTCCATTGAATCAGTGCTGACCCTGGCTTGATGGCAATAGTAGAGTGGGAATACGCCAGGCCATGAGGTACTCCCGAGTAATTTGTAACAAGTCTGCTGCTGCTGATGGCCCACAGCACCACATACACACCTAGCTCGAGCTGAATGAATTCTTAGCAGAGTATTGGTGCCACACAACATGATGGAAGGGTTCCACAAAGTCTGTGCGGGGGTCACTCTTACCATCATGCATAGATGAATCTGCAGCAGGTAGGTTTGTGACAATAAGGACTTGAGGGGACTGGTAGCGGCACTACTGGTCTTGGCAATTGATGTTGAAGGCCCCTATCCAGGTATCCAGTAACCAGCAGGAAGTTTCCTTGCCCGTTTGACCTGATGCTATGAGATTCAAGAGACAATGGCGAGGAACCTGAGGGCCTCTCCCTCACAACTGTATACCTCAGTGTTACCACCTTTGCTGTGTCTGGCATGTCCTCGCCCACTGACAGGACAGAGATATTGATGGTGTTGTTCAGGGCACCGTACAGAAGGTATGGATTTCATGAGTATGACCGTTAGGTCATTGCTTGACATGTCTGTCTCTCCCAATTTTGGCACTAGGACCCAGATCTTAGAGACAACAGGACTGAGTTTGCTGTTGTCGTTTCTGGTGCCTTAGTCAATGTCTGTCCAGTTGAATTCTTTCTTGGGATTTTATTTTAAAAAGTCGTTGATACAACTGAGGTCATTTGAAGAATAAAAAGTGAAAAAACATCCAAGAGTGGCGCTAGCGACTTCTCAAACAGCATTAAAGAGGGACAGCATCACCATAAGGCTGTACCTGCATTAAAAGGGCAGTGGTGACTAAGGATAAAAAACTGAATTCTGTGTGTTATCTGACAGGAAGATAGCTAGCTGGTTATTTCTTTCATGTCTCTTTTGCTCAGTTATGCTACAGCAGCTGAAGAGTACAGTTAAGAAATTCACTTAAAATGATTAATCAAAATTAATTAAATAGAGATAACTGGGCCAGGAGGGCATTGCAGTTATAATATGTGGGAGCCGATGGACACCAGTACAATTCATAGTGACCACACTTGCTGCAAAATGTTGGCTTCTTGAGCAAGTTCAGTACAGAGTTGATGAACTGGGGTCTGAGCTGTGACCACTGTGACACATCAGGAAAGAGAACAGCTAACTGGGCACAGTCACACCCCTTTGGTTAATTATATTACCTTTGGTCTGTGGGCAGGGGCAGAAGAGTGTGACTGTAAGGGAGGCAGATATACTCATGAGCGTGCTGTCTTTATCCTCCTGCTTGGTAGACTTTCAGATTATGTACTTGGAATTTGTCATACCATTAAATTGCTATCTTTCACTTAAAAAAGACATGCCCTAAGTCATCGCCTGCCATCCTCCTCAATCTTCAAATGTTAGCTCAATTGTGAAGAGCTTGTAATGTTCAGTTAGCACTACTTCTAACAGCTTTACTGCATGTCAAAATATAGAGAATGAATATTGTATTCGCATCACGTTGTGAAATAAATAATTTGCTGTGCTTTCTATGCGAGCATAGAAGTGTGAACTTTCAATTTACTAAAAAAAATCTGCACAGTAACAGAAAAAAAAAGCACATTAGCAGGTTTTTCAAGGCATCAAATCTAATCAGAACAAAATATAGACAGACAAGGTACAATAAACTTTTACTTTCATCAAAAACTATGCACAATAAACAGAATTATACAAAAATTAAGAGTACAAAGCAATTGCCATAATAGTGAGTACTTAAATCTGTTGCATGGAAATCAAAAGCAAATATGGAATTACATATACAAATGCTAATTACAAGTTGCCTTTCATATTTTAATAAGGTTAAATTATGTGTAATTTGCATTTCTATTGGGTTCAAGTTATTGCTCTTTCTGAAACATTAATACCTGTATTTACTTAATACATAGAAACAATATTAAGGCACTAAAAAGATATTGTATTTGGATACTGTAAGCAAACATATTAGTCTTACTAGAGAGAGACTCTGAGCAAAGAATTCTACCCAGTAAAACTGTGATTACTTCCCAACACATTTATAGAGGATTTCACGGTTACCAGTTTGTGCAAAGTGGAAAAGAAGTATTAATTACATGATTTTTATTTCAAGTGCATCAAGTGGGTTGAGTGAAAACTGTATCTAGACATCATAATGTTCACATGATTTAGATCTTTGCATCATACAGTGCAATACTTGATCAGGTCACAGACCAGTGGTACATTCCCATTTTAACAGTTTGAAAGATGCACGTGAATGTTTATCATCAATAATGGAATTATTTTAACAAAGGAGAAAATTGATATAACAGTATGATCTTTCAACTACAGTTTACTAATTTACATTGTGAAATAAAGTCACCTGATAATGTTCTTAAGTCTGCTTGTCTTGATTACATATTTTACTGTGTTTGGAATCTTTTGATTATCAAATATACCTTTATCAAACCATTTTCTGGGGGCATTAATAATTATTTTTGCTGAAAATGCATTGAAATTTGTTGGGAAGTATGGAAGGATGCCATGGAGCATCTGTTATTTGAAAAGAAATTCGCAAATTCTCACCAACTGGTATTTATTTATCATTAATTCTTGTAAAAAATGCTAGCCAGTTGTTTCTGCAATTTAATATTCTATTTGAAAATCAGAACATGGTATCAATCCCATGAGAAGTATTGATGTAAAGCTGATCTTTATGATTACAGAACTTACTATACCCAAAGTACATATTTTAGAAATGCATTTCACATCTGTATTTAATACTTTCAGTGTTTTGTTATTTGGGCAGTAGTCTTCTGTAGACTAAATTGAAACATTGAGTCAAAATGTGTGGGGTCCTGTATTATGCCAACAATAAACCCACAAAATACTGTTAAGAGCAATTGGCCCAATATTAATTATTCATTGATACATGTTAACACAAGTCAAAAATATCAACAATTATGTATGCAATACCATTGATTTGTTCATTCTGGTTCTAAGGACATTTCATCAAGGCCTTCTTAAATGGGAAAACTACTAAGAATTACTATCTGCTGGTTTGATTCTGTGCATTTTGATACTTCAGATTGTTAAAAAATTAATGATATAATTGTCAATGTATGTTTTGAACCGAAACCAACAACAACATGAATAATTTCAAAATGCAACTATTGTCAATCACACCTAGTTAAGAACGCTGGAGATTTTCTAACTAGATGATATGATTGATAGGTAGATAGAAAGACAGAGCCCTCTGAAACTTAAAACAGTGCCAAAATTTTAACTTGGAGCTGGTGACAAATCAAACAAATGACATATGGACAACTGTAGTGCCTGGTAATAACGGGCGTAGAAGTTTTTCTTTATATCTTAAGATTTGCATCCCCAAAATACTTGTGCTTCACAACACAGCATTCAGCTTATACAATGAATTATAGATAAATTACTATACTGTGCATGCTTTTATTATTTATCCTGAGCAAAATTATGGCGCCTGATAATCCATAGACAACTTACCTGCAGAAGATTGCTGTTCTTCGAGCTCATAAAAGGGGTTAATGCAGTGCAGAGTGATATAAAATACTGCTATGTTCGAGAAACTTGTATATGTAATAAAAATACAGTATTTCCCAGCCAATAATTAAACTGGTAACTGGAAGACCACAAACATTTTTCTGAAAGGTTTCTCAGCTTAAATGCCACAGCCAATAACTGTATAAGTATTGGAAGATTAAAGGCTAGCCAGCCCAACACTCCTGTTTTAAGAAAGATTCCAGTTTCTTAAAGCAGCAAATGAGTTTGCTGAATCAATGAATAATTTGCAGACTGTACAATCACATTTATATGGATGTCATTTCTATTAATACCATTCTGATGTGGTATTAGATCATGCAAAGAAACTATTTTATATGGCATCTAAATATCCTTGAGAAATTGAAGTTTAAAGCAGTGCTCTGTAAAGTCCTTCATTCGTTTGCCATTACAAATTACAGCTACGGAATGAATGATCTGTTTGTGTAGCATGGCACTAACACCATTTCCACTCATCTTCCATTGCACTCTCTGCCACAACCATCCATCAAGGCCAGTGAGACAGAAACGTTTTTTTTCCAACAAGCTCTCATCTATCATCAGAATACTTGTTTACCTGCCTGCCAGTCTCTAATTGCAATTTTAAAAAACAAGATTAAAATCTGAAAGCAAGTTAATTCAGGATGTCTCATAAACAGAAAGCAGGCAGCGGTTCCATTGAGAATATTTCCAGAGCAAAGCAATTGGATCGGACATCGCAACAATTACAAATCCACAATTTCTAACGTGTTGTGCAGTCAGACTGATTAGATGTGTAATAATATCTGGATCAGAGATATTTTAAAATTTCAGATACAAAAATTGCATTCATTTAGTGCCTTTATTGATCTCAGGACATCCCACTTACAGCCAATGAACTATTTCTAATGTGTAGTCAGTGTCATGATTTTTATATATTAGAACTTTATTGTGTCCCATCCACCTGTTTCACAAATTTACTCAAAAAGGGCCAATAAATGTTTTCTATTTAGAGAATGCTTGTTTTCAAGTATTGTTTTGTTTTTTTAAAATGGTAATCTGGAATTTGCCAGGCAGATTAACATGGAATTCTGGCAACTGATCAACTAGCACTTGCTCGAAGGAAATAAGGTTTGTCTAGTTGTCATTTATTGATGAATGGCTGTAATATTTTGTAATTATACAACACAGTAATGTGTTAGTCCAACGTGCAGTATTTACTGCTGTTGAGCCCAGAGAGGAAAAAGAGAAAATTACTAGTCATCCAGGGCAGCTCGTATACCAGCACATTTATCACAATATTCCCTTGGCCATGAAAAATCCTGGATCACAGGAACATATTTGTTGCACTGGATGAAAACACCCAAATCCCCACCCTTCAAGCAAAGCCTACATGCAATTAAATTGAACTTTTTGGGTTTTTTTTTGTTGAGTCACTTTCCACTGGAGACCAGGTTGAAAGCCTGCTCTCAGCAATTCAGAGGACACTGGAGTTTTATTTTATTTTTTCATCCTGTTCTAATCTCCCATACTGAAGAACTACAACGTCAGTTTATTTCATCCTTATTGTCTTACCTTATCTTTTCCATTACAATTAAGCAGCCAATTGTTTATTGTCCAACAAAATTAACCATTAAAATGCAAGTCATGAAATTGGGTTTTAGATCAGAGGACGGTGCCGCATTCATTCCATAAAAATGTTTTATTATAACATGATTTTTTAAAAGTGTTTCTCAAGCACAAGAAGAAATTTCTGGGCACTATGCAAGGAAGTAGTTACTACAGTATACAGCATGAGAAAGAGGAAGGGGAATGAAATGGAGTTTCTCCTTTGGAGAACCAAACATATTGCTGCAGAATGGAAGATGGAGGAAGTTTTTGTGGAGGGAGGGGGTGGGGTGGTGGTGAGGTGCTATCACGATACAGGATGCAGAGTTCAGACGTTGAAACAGTAGGAGCATAGTGATTTTAGAGATTTGTCCATGATGGTTAGGCAGGGGTCAGAATTACAGTATAGAGGCATCAAAGGATGCATTCACAGGTATAAAAGAAGAAGGATGGAAAAAAAAGAGCAGAGATTTGTAAAACAGGAAGAACATTTTGGTACTGACACACTGGTGCACAGAAAGTTACTAAAAATAAATTTGGAGGAGGATAATCTTGCAGGAATTACAGGACTTAGGCGGAGGGGCAGGGCACAAGTGGTGGTATTTTGAATGAATTGATGTTTGTGGAGGATTGAGGTGGCACAGGCAGCAAGAGGGGGATTAATGGTAGCAAAAGATGGGGGGCGTGGGTGTAATTTTACAGGGGTGGAAGAAAACACTTTTGGTCAGTGAGGAAAGATGAGGGAAGAAACTGAGCACAATGCCACATCCGGATAACTTTCTCAGCCGCCAAATGAAACTGCTAAAGCCCATCCACTTTCAAAGACATAATACCAGTCATATCCATTTTAAACTAGGGCTGTAAACTACCAAAATCCTCTTCACTTTAAACCCTTCCAAAGCTGAACTTGCATTTCAAACTCTGAGGGCTATTTACCTTATTGTAAATAAAGTGAATGTAATCATACAAAATGTTGATAAGTTTTGTTGACTAGATTTCTTGCTTCCTTCCATGAAAATTAAGTTTAAATTGCAACATCTAATTTTGATGTATTTTCCAAGCCCAATTTTCAGTACTCACCCAAGTTTTTGAATAAGAGATTTCTGTTCAGTTAAAAGAAATCAACCCAAAGATCCAGAATACATTGGAAAATAAACTACACAGCATGCTTCCAACCGTATTTACACACACGTCTCACTCAATCTCCTGATGCACTTGTACAGCATCCCAAGGGAATTCTTTCCTGACAGCATGAAAACTGAATATCTTTAGAAGATTATCAATATGCATGCAAGTTAAAGCACGTAAACACTGCATTCAAGGCTAAAACATCAGTCAATTGAATTGAAAGTTATTCCTTTTTAAAATCAATTTCTAATTTATTGTCCATAGTAATTTAAAATATGTTGCTCATGACTTTGTATCTATGTTAAATCAAAAAGCTGCCTAGTTTATTTTGTGCTTAGCTTTTTCTCTCCCACCTGGTAACTGGACCCACCAAAAAATTTAAAAAACAGTCCAATCGATCATTTAAGGTGAACTGTCCAATGTTTCTGACAAAATAGGCAGTTATTATTTTTCCTATGTGTATTAAGTCAACACATTAAACAGTCTTGACAAAGTTTAATTTAATATAGTTGTTAATGATTACTGATACAAGAACTTTATAAAGCAATAAGTATGGATTACTTCATTCTAATGGATGCTAATGGACTTGTCTGCTGGTTGCAATAGAACAAATGAGGAGGTGAATACATATGTATTGTGCTTCATATAATAAAACCGATGCAAGTTCAAGATAGTAATCCTCATGTGTGTCAGTTGTCAGAAAAAATACCTTGGAACTTGCAAACACTTATAGTCCTACCACACACAAAACAAAAATTGGATTCCTACTCCAACCTGCAATGACCAGGATATCAGTAAGAATAGAGTAATTAAAATAGTTGACTCTTAAGAAACAAAGATTGCTGGACTGAGACAAATAAAAATGGTAGCAAATGCTCAATTAGACCTGTTAAAAATCTAATCAGCTGATTAGATTAGAACCCCTATTACATTAAGTTATATCTCAGCTAGTTTTAATTGAAAACATAAGTTTCCTATTTGTTTGCCCATAAGTTTGGCAGATCACTGAAATGCAGCAACACAGCCCTACTACAAAACGTCACATTAACATTGGATTCCAAGAGCAACAATTAGAACACCCACCAGGTAATATTTCTCAATGCTCAAAATTAAATGAATTGTTCAGCCTAGAAAATCAAAGCTCACAATTAATTTAGGCTTTGTCTATGATATTTAGTTCTACCTACATTTAGATTGTTCGGCAATATGACACTGTTTCAAGCCTATGTCTCCATAGGACGTTTTGTAGATACCACATCTAGAATGAAAGAAGTAATTCATCTTTCATTTAACATCACCCTCTTCTCTCAATCTTCCAAGATCTATCAGCAAAGTCATGTGATGATAGATATTCAATTAAATTTTCTCATTTTATGAGCTAAATTGTGCCTTCAAAAATCAGAGTTTGAGATACATATACATATACATCCACAGCTTCTAAGTTTACTCTCAGAACCGGCTTACTGACCATATTTAGCTTATATTCATATTTTAACTGCATGTAGTAGGTATTGGAAAAAAAATTTTAAAAAATCTTTGAACGCTTTAGTTCCAGGACACTTTTGGTTGCTTGCTTACCTTTACATGAAACAAAAAAGCAATGTACTCCATAGTGATCCCAAGTTCACATCACTTGCAATGACTAAGAAAACTCCTGAACAGTGTACTTGAAAAGATTTTGACCTACATTCCTTTGCCAGCTAGTTAATAGTAGCCTCTTGCATGTGTAAGAAATGCAAATAAAATGTTGGCTTCCCAAGCCAGCTCTTACTAAGAAAACAACTAACAAGAGCATGACTGATTGTAATGCACCTCATCATATCGGGCATATTTATTTACTTCAGTTACCAATGTGCACATATCTGGTTATCGTGATGCAAAATGATATAATTAAGACACAAAAATATCAACTTGTGCTTATTTCTTTCGGTATAAAGAACAAATAACCTGCACAGGATGCTGCTAATTATCGTAGCGCTAAGTTAGTATTCATGAAAGTGGCTCTGCAAAATGCCAAAGTTACGATTCCAAACATTCAGAAAATTTCTGGTTATCACAATGGAAATAGCAAGAAACGGATTGAAGGTCCTAGTGGCATAATAGCAGAATTGATGGCGCTAGTAAATATATTTGGAAAATCTTAATCCAGCAAATCAAATCAGGATGATTCCAATATTAAAATCTTTTGACAGAGCCAGTGTTGTTCTGAAAAGTTCGGGAGTTCTTGGAACGGCTTGAAATGATTCAACTCAACAAAAAAGTTAGTTAAATTGGAGCGCTATTCATTTTATGTGCTGTACACAACAATAGTTGTCAGCACAATCCTAATTTCAAGTGATAAATATAACAAATGCATATTTGCATAACAAGTCAGAACGTAAATTATACTCACCAGCCATTTGGTAAGCTGATCTTTATTAGCAGCCCAAAATTTATCAAATTACGGATGATTTAGTGGCACTTGCTGTCTTAACTACGTAAATCATCTGGTAACTTGTGGCAAGGAAAAGATACCCTGTGAATTGCAAAATCACTACAAGTTGCTGGATGAGTAGCACCATTGATATTTAAATTCTAATTCTTCCCTTACTTTTGTCTCTCTCTCTATCTTTTGGATCCAACCTTGATCTCCATATTACACTTCCGCACCTTCTTTGACTCTAATTCACTCTCCTGCTCAATCATTCTCCAGTTTCCTTCTCAAAGTATCAATTTCACTACTTAAATCAGTTACACTCTAGGTCCCAATGTTTACCAAGGTTCCAAATGTCCTTTACCCCCTCACTGTGCCCTTATTAGCCTGCAGTTCCAACAGCTTACAGGACAAACATACGAAGTGAAGGGAGAGGGAAGAACTTTAATATTAGGGCACATCACAAGTTGACAAATCTGACAAATTTTGGGCCAATATGCTTCATGAATTGAAGGGAGTTATTCTGGATTTACAGTAGCACATGACTTAACTGAGGTACAGTGTGAACTGAGATACAGCATGAAGATATTCCCTACTAGACTTTTCTGGTCACGTTATGTAGCGCAGTAAACATCATTGCCTCAACGTAGTTTTCTGTGTGTTCCGTTGTACTGGTCTGAATGAAAAGGAGTCGTTATATTTGACCCGAAGACTGTGGTCCAAGGCAAGTTGTATCCAAAGTGTGATATTGTGCTTTCATAAAGAGAACATTTCTTTTGAATATTTGGGACAAACAAACATTATGGGTGTAAAGAATGGAAACAGAATATACATTAGATATTTTTCATAGAAAGAGTAATGAGAGAATCTATTCACTAAATTACCTCATCTTCTACTGGTCTGCTTAGGGTGGTAGCAGTAGAGGTCAGGTGCAAAATCACAGGAGGGTTTGAAGCAAGCTTATTTACTATTAAGTAATCAAATGCATGCCAATTTCAGAAAGTAATTAAGTTGCTTAGATCATTTTCTTTTTCCTTCCCCATTTCTATTTTTTGGCTTAATTGCACTATTGCTGAGTGGGAAACTGTGATCTCAGGCCTCTGCTTGGTAAAAGTTGCATAAGATTGAACTGTTAGAAACTCGTTCAAATTTTCTCCTCCCTGCTGTGGAGATGCACCCGCCCTCTGCTCAGTGTCAACATACTGGAATAAAAGAATCAAGGTGGCATTCCTCAATGATGCCATGCATCAATACATCAATGCAAGATGCTGCCAACCTACTTAGCAAGTAGACTTACTCCTTTCCACAAAACTGAACAACATGAATCCTGGTTTTACCTAACATGCTACTTGAATTTTAGTCAGAGGAAAGTATTCTTAAAATGGAATATGCAAGTCATGGTCATCAATAATTTGATAGATTTTTTTAAAAAAAAACCTGAGTGCTAACAGGCCACAAGACAAAGCATCTTTTGCTGTAGAAAAAACAATTAAAAAACAAAACAAAAGATTCGGTACAAATGTTTTAAATTGTCATGAGAGAATGAAGTTTATCAGTTAACTTGCTATGGAGTTAGGAAAGCTAGGATTTCATGATCTCATTTAAAATCTTAGGTTTTCAATTCTACATGTAGTGCAGATGTTATAAAATAATGCCAGTCTGCTAATGATGTCATGTGGCCATTATCACAATGCTTCAGAAATAACAGCTTAATGGAGTTAATTCATTAATTCCTACATGGCTACAAGTGTTCAGATGCCTACTGTAAATTGCAATAAATGCTCATCCAAACTTCAGGATGGCAGTACAGCATAAATACTGAGGTCTTCAAATTGCATTAGCTGAGCTTATAAATAGCTGCATAAGGCCACAAAAAAAATTAGCCAAAAGTAACAAGTTTTCGATGCAGTGCTTCAATGTGTTCTGTCTAACACCTTTGGCTCTTTTGCTCCTCAGACTTCCCAGTAACATCTCTGCCATAAGAACATTTTTAACAATGGCTCAGTGCTTTGCAGCCAGGCTTGAGAGAATATGCATGCCTGGCAATTTGAAAAGTGACCAGTAGTTAGCAGTAAACTAATATGACTTTTGTGAGGTTCGATAGTTTTAAGTTAGTCCACTACTGCAGATGATTCCTCACTGGACCCGCTCTCCATCTCGTCATCATGTTAAGGAACCAGGAAAGAATTTTTTTTTTCCTTTTCCAAATATTCTCAGTTAAAAAGCTTACTGCTTTTACAATCAGCTTCACTCTTATCAGTCAACCAGAACTTGCTTTCTTGCAACATTCCTCCTTTGTCCTCTGGCATTCCATCATATAATTGCACAACACACACGACATTTTGCACAACCTCTTTTCCTCTTTTTGGGGTGGAAAACTGTCAAAATTGCTTCATCAAACACAGCTTTCAATCCTTTCTGTGTGAGGGCAGAGCATTCCAGGTAACACTGTGCTCCAATCTGAAAGAGAAAAAAAACAGAAATCCACTTTTGCTTTCAGTTGTAAACCTAAACTAGGGTTTACAACAGATCTACTATCATAGAAGTCAGATGCCACATGGTTTAAATTAGCTATAAATTTTAATGGAAACATTCAGGCATACAGCAGATTCTTAATATCACATGTAAATTTTGAAGAGTTAGGTGCAAATAAGAATCTTTAGTTTCCTCAAACCACACAAAGTATTAAAAAAATGCCCGTACTGGTCAGGATACAGTGCTCCATCATTGATGACCCAATTTAACATTCGTTTCTCTGAAAATACAGAGCAAATTTGTAGAACTTGGGGTGAGGCAGTGGCACAGAAGTAACATCAGTGGTTTCAACTAATACTCTGAGGACAGGGGATCAAATCCACCATGACTGCTGATGGAATTTCAAAAGTCAAATGAATGGTAAACTTAGCATCATTTATACACGATATGTTCCATGAAGCTACCATTGAACTGTCTTTTTAAAAACTGTAGACCCCACTGGATAGGCCAACATCTATTGCCCATCGCTAATTGCGCAGAGGGTAGTTAAGAGTCAACCACATTGTTGTGGATCTAGATCGTGTGTAGGCCAGACCAGGCAAGGATGGCAGATTTTCTTCCATAAAACAGATTAGTGAACGACATTTGACAGTGCTTACACATTTACTTATTAGAACAATTTTTTTTTTTAAAAAAGAAAAAATTGAATTCAATTGGTGCCATCTGCCATAGAATCATACAGTGTGGAAACAGACCGTTCGGTCCAACCAGTCCATGCTGAACATAATCCCAAACTAAACTAGTCCCAGAGATAGTAGGAACTGCAGATGCTGGAGAATCAGAGATAACAAGGTGTAGAGCTGGATGAACACAGCAGGCCAAGCAGCATCAGAGGAGCAGGAAGGCTGACGTTTCGGCCTAGACCCTTCTTCAGAAACCTTTTTTCAGGAGGGACAATTTCATCACACTCCTGAATTGTGCCTCATACAGCATGGGCAGGCTTTGGGGAGTTACTCACCACAGTATTCCCAGCCTCTCATATACTCTTGTAGCCAGTATTTATACAGCAAATACAGTTGAGTTTCTAGTCCTTGGTAATTGTACCAGCCTCTAACACTTTCTGTGGCAGCTCATTCCATTCATGCATCACCCTCCGTGTGAAAAAATTTCCACTTAGGTCTCTTTTAAATCTTTCCCCTCTCACCTTAAACCTATGCCCTCTAGTTTTGGACTCCCCATCCTGGGAGAAAGACCTTGACTACTCACCCTATCTATGCTCCTCATGATTTTATAAACCTCCACAAAAAGGTCACCGCTCAGCCTCCAATGCTCTAGGGAAAATAACCCCAGTCTATTAGCCTCTTCCTATAGTTCAAACCCTCCAATCCTGGCAACATCCTTGTAAATCTTTTCTGAACCCTTTCAAATTTCACAATGTCCTTCCTATAGCAGGGAGACCAGAATTGAATGCAGGATTCCAAAAGTGGCTTCATCAATGTCCTGTGTGGCCGCAACATGACCTCCCAGCTCCTTTACTCCATGCACTGGCCAATAAAGGCAAGCCAAGCAAATGCCACCCTCACTATTCAATCTAACTGCGACTCTACTTTCATGGAACTATGAACCTGCACTCCAAGGTCTCTTTGTTTAGCAACAGTCCCCAGGACCTTACCATTAAGTGTAGAAGTCCTGCCTTGATTTGCCTTTCCAAAATGCAGCACCTCACATTTATCTAAATTAAACTCCATCTGCCACTCCTCAGCCCATCTGATCAAGGTCCCATTGTACTCTGAAGTAACCTTCTTGATTGTCCACTACAACTCCAATTTTGGTGTCATCTGAAAACTTACTATAACTAGACCTCCTATGTTCACACCCAAATCATTTACGTAAATGACGAAAAGGAGTGGACCCAGCACTGATCCTTGTGGCTCACCACTGGTCACAGGCCTCCAGTCTAAAAAGCAACCCTCCACACCCTGTGTCTCCTACCTTCATGCCAGTTCTGTATTCATGACCCCAATCAGTCCGCTCTGCTTCAAGGAGAGCATCCCTTGTCTCTCCAATCCCTCTTCACAATGAATTCTGAAGCCCAGGCAACATCCTGGTAAATTTCCTCTACACCCTCTCCAGTTCAATCACATCACTCCCATAATTTGGATTCCAGAACAGCACATACAATACTCTGGTTGTGGCCTAACCAATTCTTTATACCGTTCCAGCATAACCACCTTGCTCTTAAACTCTTGTCTCAGTTAATTGAACATTAACGTTTTCTGCTGAGGAGATCAGCAAAATTGACAGTATACCTAGAATACACAACTTAGGCAGTGAAAACCAACATGAGGGCTTTGAGACAAACACCGAGCTACTTATATAAAAAGGCATTTGCTTGTAATTATTTATAAAAATAAGTCCTGTTTGAGAAGGTATTTAGAAGAAAGCGTGTTTCATGATTTCAATAACAAATGTTGGTTAAGGCTAAAAAGCAACGTTTTGGTCAAATATATCTGCCACAAATATAAAGTTCGAAACCTGACTGCAGATATTCATCGAAGCAGTCTTATTCCACTTGAGTTTGGCACCTTCTGAGAATAATCTTCAAGCCACGGTTGAAAAGTGTTTGGAGGGGGAGGGGGCTGCCAAAATTGTTCAACAATTTATGAACTTAACGCAGTACCTTTTTTTAAAATTGGAGAAAGTGGATAGATTGCTGCCTGCTTTCTGGGATGAGCAAAGCGAAGAATTCACTTCACATGTGTACAGGTGACAACTGTCTTGAGAGCTGGCATTTGCATTCTGCACCTGGTGTCAAACTAACAGTCTATCTAACCACAAATTTCCTTTTATTAGTGGCAGCAGATTTGATAGCAACTTCGAGGGAAACTGGATATGTACAGTACTTAAAAATGTAAGATATGAAGGGCTACAGGGAAACAGCAGGGGAGTAGGTCTAATTGAACAACTCTTCCAAAGAGCTGGCATAGGGAAATCTGGCTGATTGGCCTCCTTCCTTGCTGTATACTTACGTGTTTCCCCGCAGTTTACCAGAACAAGCTACAACACATTGTTAGTCGATTTCTTTCATTTAAAAGAGACTCATACCAGACAACATGACAGAAATTCTTCTTCTAAAGAAGGCTTTATCTTTTGGGAAAAAAAAAGAAAAGGAGGAATTTTAATAGTATTGAAGCATCGGCTTTGTTTGCTGAGGTTGTGGAGAACAGTTCATGACAATGACAATTCTATCACCTAACTAGTCACGAACTGTTGCATTACAGTGACCAGTCTTGGCAGAAAAAAAGGCTCCTGCACGAGACTTGCTTAGTTATAAATGCATTCAGAATTCTTATCATTTAAGAATCTCCAAAACAAGAATTACCTCTTTAGCCAACTTCACACCTTGTTCATATGTGATGGGTTTTTCCTTCATGTGAATTAATCGGGCCAGTGTTTTGGGATCATCTCTCAGATCAATCTGCAAAATACATTTTCATGGGAAAATTTTAGACTTTCATATTTACCTTCTGGTACAATAAATTTTACCCCAGCACTCACTGTTATTTACCATGAGAGTTAATTTCTATAAAATAACATTTGACAGCCTGTGCAAGGGAGAACTGAGCTGGCAACTTATGATAATACTTTCAAATCTGCCTTTAGGTACTGCTACAAATATGACCATATTTCATTTGGAATATATCAGTTCACTTACTTTGCAGTTTTCTGATCATCTCCCTTGAACAAAAAACATTACCCACAGAGAAATAATGTTTTAATGGAAAGATAATAGTTTGGCAAAGAAGCTAGACAGAGTGAGAGAAACATCCATCTACAAAGACTATGAAGTGTTATCATACCTGAGTTCCAATCAGTACATAAGGCACATGTGGCATACATGCTTTAAGCTCAGGCACCCATTCCTCTTGCACATTGTGATAAGATGCAGGATTTACCACAGAGAAGCAGATCAAAAACACATCAGTGTTTGGATAAGAGAAAGGTCTCAGTTGATTGTAGTCCTCCTATAACAAATAAAAGGTAAAAGTATTATAAAATTCTTTCAATCCAAATTTATTCTGCTTTATTCCAAGATTAATTTTGTTTGTATGCTTGCAAAACATTTTAGAGCACCTAGACAACATTCCAATAAGTTACATTCATATAAGAAATCCAGGGAGCTGGATTTACCTCCTCTGATGTTGATATGCAATGGGTTTAAATGGACATGTGACTGCAGTAGACACATTTTGATAAAACATTCTTTAAAAAAAAACAAAGGCATTGCACAACAGGTAAACAGCTTTTTACAATGACTCAGGTTTCAGCACCCATTTAAAGGAATTATACATGCGACACTCAGATAATTTACCTTTAATATTCTCACTCTTCAGAACATTCACTCAGCACATTCTAAACAGAACATTGCACAAAGATTAATATTCACCACAATGTCAGTGCATAGATATTTATGCAGTTTCAAATTCTTTGCAAAAGCTAAAATGGGTGAGAATTCTACAATACATAATTCTATAAAGTATAGCTTGATATTTAATGGGGAAGCAGACCTTGAACATCTTAAGAAAAAGTCTTCCTATAAGCATTTTATCTGACACAGTCAATTAAGAACCAATCTTAAAATAAACTATGGGAAAGCACAGCTATATTACAACCAAGCATGACCACAACAATTTACACCTTAAAAGCAAAAGAGTAATGCTTTAATATTGATAGCCAGTAGATGGAGCACTATTTTGATGACAAACTGCACAAAAGTGGAACAGGATCTTCTACTACAGAATTAAAGTATTTGACAATTTTCCAAGATTATAAAGCTGATGTGGTACTGTCTCAATTTTATATTGCATGAATTAAGTGCATACCCATGCACACAAAAAATAAAAACTGCAATCACAGGTCAAAGTATCTGAATGATTGAATAGAATTTAAAGAAAGAGAGTCTGTTAAAAGCAGCGCTGGGACCTTAAGAGATAGCTTCACATTATTGCCAAGAGGTGTGTTATTAATAAAATCAATTTGCAAGTCAAAGAAACTGAATTCTCTCAACTTAAAATGTAAAAAAACTGAACAGTAGAATGTTAAACTTCCATTTCACTTCACAGTGTGAATCAGTCACTGGTGCAGCACAATATAAAATTGAGGCACCAGCAGAACTGTACAATATATCAATTTTTTTCCCTTATCTAGAGTCAATGGTTTAATTTGGCATTTAATAGAATGTTCTTTTAAACAAATAAACTATTGACATTGATGGTGGATAGTGGAAACAGTGAACAGACTATATTTTTTCAACAGTGAATGCAGGGATTGCTGAAGCAACTTTGTTTAATGTCACATTACACCAAAGAGGCAGAAGCCAAGCCTGAATGTTTCAGAGACTCCCTCAAAATAGAGAGGGATGTGGTGGTGGGGATGCACAAAAGCTTTTTGGAGATCCAAAGTTTTGAAAGGGTAGACAGGTTACTGTGCCTTCAGAGACTACTGCTCGGCCTAGCTGGTTAGTCATAGCTGCCATAGTCCCCTGGTCCCATAGCAGAGAGGGATCAGGGGGCAAACAGGAACTGGGGCTCACTTGGCCCTGTACAGGTGGCATGGACAGTGAACATTTGGTGCTAGCACATTGAAGGAGGTTGGCACTGCATTGGCACCACAGGCTCAGAAGAGTGGCAAGGCTGCCGAGAACAACATCTACCTAGAAGGGAGTCCCCCAGCTGGCCATTCAGGAAGGACTCTCAGGCTTTGGGTCCCCAGAGGTGAAGAACCTTCCACAAGAAAGGCAAAAACCCTGGTCATCGGGGAACATGAGAGAGGAAGCAGGGGCAGGAAAGCAACGGCAGCACAATGGCTCTGTGGTTAGCACTGCTGCCTCACTGCGCCAGGAACTTGGGTTCGATTCTACCCTCGGGCAACTGTCTGTGTGGAGTTTGCACATCCTCCCTGTGTCTGCTTGGGTTTCCTCCGGGTGCTCTGGTTTCCTTTCACAGTCCAAAGGTGTGCAGGCTAGATAGATTAGCCATGGGAAATGCAGGGGTACAGGAGTTGGTCTGGGTAGGGTGCTCTTTGGAGGGTTGGTGTGGCTCAATGGGCCAATGGCCTGCTTCCACACTGTAGGGGTTCTAACAGAGGCCAAGTCCTCAATATAGAAACTATCAAAGATGGCAGGAGATGTTAGAGATGACGGAACTAGTGCCACAGCAGAACCACTGTCCAGACAGACGGTTACAGGAAGATGACAATCTCACCACTGAATGTCTTGCAGCATTGGTCACCAAACCCTGGTAAAGGCCTTCAAAGTCCTTATGCCTTGAACATCTTTTCTTCTAGGTCCATTCACGGATCAGCTGCAGATCTTAACAGTACTTCTAGAAACACTGCACAACTCGTCAATTCATCAATGATGGCCACTTTGGCCAAGGGGACCAGCACATTCATTTAGGGAGAGATCATAGCAGGGTGCATCTGCACCACTCAATCCAGCCAACCAGTCGGACTGCAACAATATAGCTTCCTCAGTGTGTGTACTCATTCTCCTGCAGACAGTCATGATGCCTTCACCCTCCCCTAGTCCAAGCTGCCTCAGGACTCCATTGAAAGCATACGAATGGATCCTTGGCAATGAGGGACATATTTGTGAGATAGCTCCAAGGTGGGTCATGGACATCTCAGACATGGCAGAGAGAAGATAAGCAATGACACCAGCTCAGCAGGGCACTGGACTTCTGAGAATGCAATTCCAGTGCCTGAACCGGTCAGCTCGTGCCTTTCAATGTTCTCTTGCTAGGGTCTCAATTGGTGCGATAATATGCTGCACTCTCCTTAACAGGGCTCCTACAAAGTGTGTGAAACTGAGGATTGAAGCCTTGAAAGGAGGCAGCTCACTGAAGGAGGAGCAGGAGTAACTGATGAGTGAGGAGGCAGAGATGATGTGTTAGAGAAGTCTCTCTGCTGCATGATGAGATAGCTTATCTCCTGCCAAAATCCAAGAGTACTTCTCTCCATTCCCATAAAACCTACAACACTAGAACTAGATTTGCAATGACTATCTACAACAAGAGAGGCAAATCCTTCTAACTATGGTAAAGCATCTATCTACTCTGTCTAGTCCTCACATGTCCCACCATCTCAACATTCAATATTTCCATCACTGAATGCCCCACTATCAAATGCGGGGCATTTGCTGCTATCAGAAACTCAACTGAACTAGCCAAATAAATACATAGTGGTTACAACAGGTCATAGGCTAGGAATCTTACACCCCAAAGCCTTTCCACTAACTACAAGGTACAAATCAGAAATACTACCCCACTTGTCTGGATGAACACTGCTCCAACAACACAAGCAGCTTCTCACCATCCAGGTCAAGCTCGACTGGCAACATATCTACAAGCATCCGCTCCCTCCACCACCAATGCTCAGTAGTGGTAGTATATACTATATAAGATGTTCAGCAGAAACTCATCCAGCCCCCTTAAACTGCACATTACAAACACATAACCACTTTCATCTAGAAGGACAAGGGCAGTAGTTACATTGGAGCACCACCACCTGCAAGCTCATCTCCAAGTCACTCAGCATCTTGACTTGGAAATATATCAGTGCCGCTGGGTCAAAATCTCAGACTGCCACTCTTACAGTGCTGTTGGTGTACTAATACCAAATGGTCTGCAGCAACTCACCAACTTTTCAAGGGTGATTAGCAATGAACAATAAATGACGACCCAGCCAGTGATGCTTCTGTCCTATGAACGCAAAGACAGTGACAACTGGATACCAGAGCTGCAGCTCCCCTGTAAAATCTTACATACTTCTGGTGAAGGTCACAGCTTTGACAGCAACCACAGATCCCTGCTTCAGGACTGGAAGCAGGCTTCATAATGGATGCCACTGGAGTCTGAAAGAGTCCCACTAAGAAGCACAGAACTGAACGTGCAATGGTTAGACCACAGAAGGCAGCTATTCATTTTGTGCTCATGTTGGCTCCCTGCAAGAGTGATTCACCTAGTGCCACTCACCCTGCATTGCCTATAGCCCTGTAAATCTTTCCTTTGAGATCATGGTCCAATTCCCTTTTGAGAACCATGATTGAATCTGCCTCCACCACTCACTGGTAGTGCATTGCAAATTCTAATCACTCACTGCACCAAACGGTTTTCTCATGTCGTCTTTGCTTCTTCTGCCGTTAGCCTGTAATGACAGCAAAATACTGCTGATGATGGAAATCTATCATATAAGAGAAAGTGCTGAAAGAATTTAAAAAAAAATGCTGGAGAGGCTCAGCAGGTCTGGCTGCTTCTGTGGAGAGAAAATCAGAAGTTAACATGGAGTTCCGTCTAACTCTCCAGAGCAATAAGTGCTGGAACAACTCCGTGCTGAAGATGACTCGTATTGGTCTTGAAAAGTTAATTCTGTTTCTCTGTCCACAGATGAAACAATCTGCTGAGATTTTCCAGCACTTTCCAGTATTAACTTAAATCTGTACCCTCTGATATGCAATCCCTTCAATGAAACCGTATTTCTATTTACCTTGACCCATCCAATCATTATTTCAAGCACCTCTTCTGAATCTCCTCTCAAACTTTCTCTTCTTCAAGAGAAAACTTCTCCAACCTATCCAAATAGCTGAAGCTGCACATCCTGGAACACTTCATGATTTCACTGAACCATCTCTAATGCCTTCACATCATTCCTAAAGTACAGTGTCCTGAACTGAACACAATACTCTGAGACACACACCAGTTTAATACAGGTTCAACATGCTTTTCTACTCTATGCTCCTATTTATGAAATCCAGGATACCAAATGCTTTTTTTAGTTATGCTCTCAAACTTCAATAATGTATACACATAGCCCCAAGCCCTTCCTTTCCTCCATCCCCTATAGAAGTGTGCCCATTATTTTGTATTGTCTCTCCTTCCTCATCCTAGTAAAATTATATTACACTTGGCTATTTGATGTAAGAGCAGAAGCAGGCCATTTGGCCCATCAAATCTGCTCCACCACTTAA